CCATTCACACACACATTCACACACTGGTGATGGCAAGCTACATGTAGCCACAGCTGCCCTGGGGCGCACTGACAGAGGCGAGGCTGCCGGACACTGGCACCACCGGGCCCTCTGAATGCATAATGATCAAGTTCATAATAAACCTCAAAATTTACCTATAAGAAGTTTTATGTTTTTTTCTTTAATTTCTTTTCAAGGCTGTTTTAATTTAATTTCCTTTGACCTTATTTCGTGTATTTTCTTGGATTAATTACTACATTGCAATAGTGCATACAGACTGTCTCTCAACCAGAAATCCAAACAGCTGTTTTTAAATTGTACCACTAGAGGGCAGAAGAACTCCACAATAGGGTTGGGTGTCGTCACTGATTTCTATAATAGATTCAATTTCGGTTCACAAGGTTCCGATTTGATTCGATCCACAATTTGATTCGATTTGAATGGGGGTAAATTTTGCGTCAGACAGTCAGAAATATTATAACTCTGATCATTTATCAGTACTGGCACTTGTGACACTTCATCAGAGGTGTGAGCATCACAGCAGATGCCTTTGTGTCAAAGATAAAACACAGAAAAACATGAAGTAGATTTTCCTGGCCTGGCTTTTTATAGCAGATAGCCTTAAAAATATTCTGCAGTAGATCATAAACTGAAGAAAACCTTGAATCAACATATGAACATTACCTGATGCTGCGAAAGTGAAGCAGTGCAAAGTTAGGTGTTATTTGAGACACAGGTAGGCGTTTTGCAATGATTGTTGTATCATTTTAAAGGTTTCATATTTCTTGGGAATTAACAGCAGAAATTTGACTTTCTTGTCAGAAGTCATTTAAAAAAACTGCGACTAACAGCGCTGTAAACAACGGTAGACTGGTGGGTAAGCAAGTGAATAATGCAGAAAACAGAGATTTGAGATGGTAAACTGTTCTTGAAATACACTGAAAGAGAGAGCTTTGCAGGAAGTGGGATTTTTATCGTGGTGGAAGCAAAACAGCAAAGGTAAGAGGGAATAATGAGGATATTTATCTAATGCGAAGCTAGTTTTGATCTTCTTTTGCTGCTGGTTCAGTGAATTTTGGTTGGAAAGTGACAAAACCTGCAGCTTCAGACTCTTTCAGCCCTGACCGCGTGTCCATGTACCTGCTGTCGGGTGAGAAAGCCGACATCTCACAGACTCTGATGAGTCGGATCCACGCTTTCTGTTTACGTCTTTGTGTCGAATCCGTTTATCTGCTCTCATTTACTGTTTTAGCTGTTTGGTGGTTGTTGAAATGAAAACATTAACATGAGATTCTGGTGATTCTGGCGAAGTACATGTATATTTAAAATCTATTCAGGACATAATGAATCAGTATCCCGTTATTCAAGCTAAAATGGATTTTAATCGGAAAAGCGACAATTGAAACCCACCCCTACTCCACAAAAGTCCAGTTTGTGGGTGATATCAAGAAGTGGCTCAGAAAGACATGTTTATGTGCTTGTGTTCAGGCTCCCATCCAGTACCAGGAACTAATGCAGATGGAGTATCTCGACTGTGTCATCAATGAGTCTCTCCGATTGTTCCCCATTGCTTCACGTTTGGAGCGTGTGGCCAAGGCCAGTGTGGAGATAAATGGCTTTGTGATTCCAAAAGGTATGGTTGTCATGGTACCCACCTGGCCGATGCACCGGGACCCCGAGATTTGGCCTGAACCAGAGAAATTCAAACCTGAGAGGTACGGAAAGGTGTCTGATGTGACAAAGCAGAATGAAGCTCTGTGGGATATAACCCAGTTTCTGTTGTTAATACACTGTGTGTGTGTGTGTGTGTGTGTGTGTGTGTGTGTGTGTGTGTGTGTGTGTGTGTGTGTGTGTGTTCTCAGGTTCAGCAAGGAAAACAAGGAGACAATTGATCCGTACAGCTACATGCCTTTTGGAGCAGGCCCGAGGAACTGCATTGGGATGCGATTTGCTCTGGTTGTGATGAAACTTGCAATAGTGGAGATCCTCCAGAGGTACAGCTTCTCTGTGTGTAAGGAGACCGAGGTGAGAGCCCAGATCATCTTCTCTAACTGCCATTGCCTTTTTTATGCTGTATGAAGAGCCCTGTCCCAAAATTATTCACTGCTAGTTTAATAGTGATGTGGACGATGCATCCACAGTGTACATCAGTCCAAAGATAAAAAGCCATGAACTGGCACAGCACTTTCATAAAACAATTGGATTTTACGCATTTCTACGTTTTCCATCAGCTTTCCACCTTAAGTTGTTTGGAGATCTGAAATAAGAAGGCAGAGTTTTGTGTGTATTTGTCATTTATTTTACATGTCACTTCCTTGCAGATCCCCTTTGAGTTGGACATCCAGGGTCTGCTACAACCAAAACGACCAATCAAACTGAAGCTGGTGCCACGTTCTTAACCTTCCTGCTAAAAATAAAAATGATAATGAAAGATTCTCTTCTTAATTGTGCTCGTTACAAACCTTTTGTGTACAGAAGCAAATGCTAGTTTTTTACCAAAACAGTACAAGAGTGTACCTCTGCATCTTTTTTCTTAACTGAGTGACAGATGAACCATTTTACTGATCTTTAAAAATCAATAAAGAATGTCCAGATTCTTCTACTCTGTCCTGTCATTTTTATGCGCTGCAGATAACTCTGAATGTAGTCACTTTGCTGCTCACATTAGGAAAATAAATGTTAAAATTCAATTTTATGTAGTTTCCAACAACAGTCAACTCAAGGTATTATATGACCTAAAGTGAATGCCCTACAGTACCAGAGAGAGACCCCATAATTGCTTTAGTGAAAGGTTTGGTGATGATGTGGAGGACAAATTTCTTTTGACCTGGAAGACACAGCGAGCAGAACAAGGCTCAGGGCGGGGCCTGGTCGGGGGCACAGAGAGACCACAAACAAGAAATAGGAAAAAACAATTAAAACTCTGGAGGAAAATGGAGAAAAAGGTTAATGACAGGCATGTGGTGGATTTTAACCTGATTTCTAGGTTTAAAGGGAGCCAATGAAGAGAAGTTTAAAATGTCAGGCCCATTTCTTAACCACTCAGGCTCTTAGATCATGGGGACGACCTGAGTGGGATAAAGACACAAGAGTGCTTTCTGCTGTTGTGTAAGAGCATTAATTACCAAATGTTAAAACAAACAAAAAAAAGCTTTACCTTAAGAAATGTATATCTGTATGAAGCACTGAAGTAAAATAGCCTCTTTTTTTTTGCTCTAACAGCGCCCTCGAGTGGACACTTTTCCCCTTAAGTTCATGTGCTCTTGCCCCTTCACTGATCCATTCTCCGGGTTTTAGTCCATCTTGTTCTTTCCATGTTTATAAACAGAGGCTAGAGATAAAAAAAAAAAAAAATCGGAGGCGGGCAAACCAGCTACAGTGCAAACACTAAATGTTCTTAAGGTTGGATTGGAGGACTACATGACGCTGGAAATAGCTGAAATCCGCGCCATTACATCAAAACTATAGAGCCATATCACTTGATTAGACTAAAATGGGATTTAGCCCAAATGTACAATAATATATACTTTGTGTTTTAGAAGCTTTAATATGAGAATTGCATCGTTTTCATTTATTTATATTAGACAGTACGTGCAGTCTTTTGGGCACTAACCGTAACCAGAATCCAGGAAAGACGTGAAAGTGAAAGAGAATGATCAGTTATGAATAAGAGCTAGATTTTAATCTCAAGAGACCATCCTAGAAAGTCTGTGATGAAACTGAACACAACCACCAGTTTCCTTTTGTGACCACATGAACCATGTCCGTTCAGAGGGCCCCAGGTGTGGCGTTCACTGCCATTTTCGTTTAAAATCATTGCTGAGTTTTGTTTCGGGCTATGCTGTCTAAAATGTTTATTTTAGCCGTTTTGTGCAACTGCAGTGCAGTTTGTTTCCATTGCATTTGTTTTTGTTTTTATTTTCAACTTGGTTTTAAATACACTGTTTAAAAAAAATCTAAGAAACAACACTGCACTGTGTTCAAATATACTACATAAATAAATGATATGCATGATGATAGCAGTTTGTAAGGATTGTTTCATAATGTATTGTTTCAGAAGTCTCTTCTGTAACACAATTATTTAATAAAAGGGTTTATTTTTAAAATGCATAATTATGTCACTTCTTAGCAAATCTGTTTGAATTTCTGTCTCATGTGGAACCATGCCTCTCTAAAGAGAGACAACACGTTTTTCACCTCTAAATATTTGCTAATTTTCTAATGATTACTTTCCCTAAACTATTAATCCAATTTTGACATAATCAAGCTCTTAACTGTAAAACCATGACTTTGCATTTGACCTTTCTTGAAATGGAAAATCCGTAATGCTGTATAGTAGTTGGTTGCAATGTTTTTAAAGCACAATTAAATATCCTGTAAGTAATGTTTTTCATTCACTTTGACAGTATGAAGTTGAAAGTACTGTGCCTCATTTCACTATAACCTTTGGAGCGGTGCCCTAAATTGGTAAATAATTAACCTATTTGGTTGTGGAGACAGACACATTTCTGTGTATGGATGCCAAGTGATGAAACTAATATATTTACATGTTTCATTGTTTGGGGCACCAAATGAGATCCGTGTTTCATTTTGGTCAGTGTTTATACAAATAGAGATAAAACAGGCATAAATAATAAACAGGCCTAAAACAAAGGTAAGATTACAAAAACGGTAATGGAAAAAAAACCCCACAGCCTAATAAACCAATAAAAATCGTGTTTTTTTAAAAAAAAAAAAAAAGTGAAATGAAAACACAGTTTTAGACTACAGGGCTAGACTAGAAACTAAAGAATGGGGAACAAAGCAAAGAAATCACACAAATTACTTTCAGTTTCAAGTGCAAAATGTTTTTTTCCTTCTTTTTTTAAACTTTGGGCATTTCGGAATCGTTAAATACAAGGAAATCGTTATTTAGTGCATTTCACAGAGGGTTGAACCAAAAAGATCAATGCGTAGCACTAAACAGATCTTTTAGCACATGTTTGAACCGTCACATGATGTCGGATTAAATATTTCTCACTGAAACCTTTAGTGAAAAGGTGAAAGTGATATTACTTTAAGGTACGCCAACATAGTGTGTGCTGTCGCTTTTCAGTTGCTGTGTGACAGTCAAGTGAGCTTATGACGACGTGTCCCTGAACGCAGCACCAGTCCGGTTCCCGGAAACTCCGCTCCTGTTCTTCCACTGAGCCGGACTCCATGTTGTTCGTCAGCCACGGAGTGAACAAGTTCCCTGGCTGAAAACTCTCACGTTGCAACTCTGTGTGTGCGAGAAGTTAAGTGTGTGCGCGTGCGAGTGTGTTGACCCTCCAAAAGAAGATGGCAGACTACCGGGATGACACCGGGGCTCGAGCCCTGCTAGCTTTACAGTCGGCTCCGTGCAGCCCGGTGCGCGTCGCGGTGACCTCGCACACCTTTCACCAGCCCTCGTTCGCCCTTCTGGGTCCTCCGGTGATGGATGCCCGCACAGACGCCGGGATTCTTCCCGTGCGGCTCGCTTCTACTCCTCCGCAGGCCCTGGCCAGGCTCGAGGGCCGGGACTTTGAGTATGTCATGCGCCAAAGGACGGTCACCATAGGCCGGAACTCTTCTCACGGCTCCGTGGACATCAACATGGGTCACTCGAGTTTCATTTCCCGACGGCACCTGCAGATCACCTACGACGAGGCGAGTGGCTTTTCCCTCCGGTGCCTGGGCAAGAACGGTGTATTCGTGGACGGGGTCTTCCAGCGAAGAGGGGCGCCACCACTGCCGCTACCCAGAGAGTGAGTGCGGTCAGCTAAGCCTAGCCGCTGCAGTCAGGCTTCCCGTGATAACACGGTGGCTGGACGTCGCAGGGCTTCTCACACTAAAGTTTATTTTATGCATTAACAGTGGAGGTCTAGCGGTTACTTCAAACAATAAAACGACTCAATTGTAAACCCACGTTAGCCTCACGAATAGATTTCTGAACACTGACGGGGAGAACATTAATACAAAACGACCTCCACGATGACAGGGCCAAACGGGACACCTATCCTGTCCGGGGTACAAAGTTTGTCACGACACCCCTACCAGAGCGGCTTGGTGTTGCATAGTAATGGCAGCCTAGGTCTGGACAGTAAAGGTGGAACACGATAAGTTGTCAGGTCTCCAGTGTAACTCACAGCGATGTTATGTTGTCATATTCAATTAATATTCAGTTTGCCCGGATGTTCTTAGTGGACCCCTTCAGCTTTGCCTTCAACCCGCTGAATGAGTGAATCAGTCTAGCTAGTTTTAGCCGTTAGCAAACCTAGCTGCATTTCCCCGGCCTGCTGACAAGCATAAGCAGTTAGTAAATTATTATTTTTTCTTTCGAAGTGCTGCAACTGGTTGGTGTTTTTGCATAAGCACGGCGTGTTATATTGTCTTTGAAATAACTTTTTAAAGTAATCTAATTTTCAAAATAAACGAATCAGCACACCTTGTAGCTTCTGAGTGATTATGCTCGCTACTAGCTCTCAGACTATTGGCCGACGTGTCACGTAAACATTAATGTAAACAAACGCATCCCAGACATGTCATCTCATGGTTCTTCGAGGAAGACGGGAGTTTTTTGGTAAATGTTGAAACTTGAAACACGTTTTTCCTCTTTTTTTGTTGTATATCTCGGGTACAGTGGAATGTAGCTTTTTTTTTCCCCACTGCGGTTGCAGAGCTGTCGCGTTTACACACGTTGCTTTCACTGGTTTGTTTAGTACAGTTGCAAGCTTACAAACGGAAATCTTTGGTTTTGTGTATGTGTCAATCATAGGGTGGAGGCAGTATGAGTGTGTTTGGGTGGGGGGTGTCTTTGTCTTCTCTGATTGGCTCGAAACACTGTTTGGGGGTGTGTCGGTTATTGAACCGGAAGTGCAGACTGGGGCGATATCCTCGCTGCAGGCGCACATGACGAAGTAAACACTGACTTGCGAGCCAAGGCCACAGACATGTTTGCTTGGTTTGCTTTGGCCCTGGAGGGTTTTCTCGAGATTACAGAGCTAGCGAAACCGCGCCGAGTTAAAATATGAAAGACAACAATTTCTCTGCATTGTCATGATTTGCAAATTAATTTCATTATGATACTGCTGAGCAAAAAGACATTTAATTTAAAAAAAAAAAAGACTGAGCTAGATTAAGTGCAGATCTAAACAAACGATAGTGGCTTATTAGAATTAATTTTCTCAAAGGAAGAAAAATTAAACTATTAGCAAAAAAGTCCTTCAAATTCTGCTCTAAAATTCAGTTTACCCTTATATAAGACAGAAGCAGCAACAAACACTTTAATGTAAGAAGCTTGAGCAAACAAATGCTGTGCAACTTTCCCTAAAAAGTGACTAAAATGATTGGTTAGATTAAAAAAGTTAATTTAATTTTGCTTTCGTTTTGTGTTTTATCAGCTACATATTGCCACTCGTGTATAGTAATTTATCAATTTATACAGGACTGTGCAAAAGTCTTGAGCACCCTTCATTTGTTTATGTTTTCCAATGAAAATGGTAAATGGGGGCTGAGAATTATTGAAACCTGCAAACATACATGGAAATAAATCATATGAGGCTGTTTTTGCCTCATATGATTTATTTCCATGTATGTTTGCAGGTTTCAATAATTGGAAACTCTGTGCAATTTTAACAACTTGAAAAGTCATGATATGACCACCTTTATTCTTAAACAGTCTGTTTTCTAAGGCAGTTTTCTTCTGATTTCTTTAAGTAGTCTTCAGGAATATTTCTCCAGGCTTCTTACATGACATTCAAAGCTTTTCCTTAGATTTTGGCTTTGTTTTATTACATTCTCTGTCGATATGCTCCCACGCTGCTTCATTAATATTAAGGTTCAGCTCTGGGGAGGCCAGTCCATGACTGAGTGTTTCATTGTGCGCAATGAAACACTGCATTAGCATGTGTTTGAGATCATTGCCATGCTGAAAAATGAAGCCACTGTCAATCAGATGCTTTCCAGATGGTATTGCATGGTGGATCAAAATCTGATGGTTCTTTTCTGTGTTCATAGTTCCATAATTTCAAACAAGATCTCTAACACTGTTGTCAAACCATGACAGAGCCTTCACCATGCTGTAGACATTAAATGCTGTATCTCCCTCCTGACCTCCTCCATGCACGCTGATTGAACCTCAAATTTCAAATTTGATTTCATCACTTCGTAAGACCTGTTGCCTCTGATTTGTTTTTAGAAGTCTAGTTCTTCTGTAATTTGGCAATCCTCACCCTTTTCTCCCAGTTTTGCCTTTTTTAAAGAATGCCTTCTTGATATCCACCCTTCCACTGAGACCACTTCTAATGAGGCTTCAGTGAACAGTAGATGCATCAACTGTGCATCACTGAGATCCTGCAAATTTTTCTTCCTATTTTTACATTTTTTTTAACGACACGGCTTTCAAATACTGCTTTCTGCTGCAGATAGATCTTTGGGGATCACCTAGTTTTTGAAAAAATATTCTATATCCAGACAAACTTTGTTATCTTTGGCACTTTTCATACATTCAGCTAAAGAAATTAGAACAAATCATGTTTTGTTTTTTTTTGCAACATGCTGCTAGTGACAAAGAAGAATGCCAGCTGCCGTTAAACCCCGAAGAAGAAGGAACTGTCCCAGAATTCATAGCGCGACACATCGCGGCCCTGCTCAGTTTCCAACAATGGCGGCAGCTAGTTAGTTTTAACCTCCTAGGACCTGGCGTCCACATATGTGGACATCACATTTTGGGTTATTTAGACCAAAATACTCAATTTTGCTCCACAAGGGCCTGATATCCACTCACGAGGACGTTGTACTGCCACTGTTCTATCAAAATTTTAAATGAATATCCTCATATGTGGCTCTCATTTTTCTTAGAGACAAAAATAAGGTAAAAATAAAATCTGGTGATTCTTTGTTTTTACATTCGTCCGGCCCCAATATGCCCAAATATCAAAGAGAAATTAAAAATGCATGCCGTGGGAGAGTTCGGGGTGTGTTCACACCGAACGCGATGGACGCGAATGGAGCGTGAGCTTTACATGTAAAGTCAATGGAAAAGCGCGATGACACGCGATTGCGGGTCCCGAGAAAATTCGGAAGCAGATTTGCGTCGCCAAAACGCGTGAAACCTGCGTCAGTGTAGCGCGTCTGGCGCGCGAATAAAACCACGCGCGTGAGTTTTTGTGTTGCATTTTGTGCATACGCGCGTTTCACGTCTACCGCTCGAGTTGGAAAAATCTGAACTCCAGCGTCAAATCGTGCCGCGACAACCAATCAGGAGCCTGGTGACGTGGCTGTGACCTAGGTCAAAGGGGCAGATCCAGCTAAAGCCCTTTATACTTCAATGGAGGGGAAGGCTAATCAATGCGGTAGCAAACAACCCGGAGCTGTACGACACCAGCTGCTTTCTGTACCGAGACAGGAATATAAAGGACCGAGCTTGGAGGAAGATATGTGAAGAGATCGGGCAACCTGGTAAGTTCATTCATTTCTCTTAAGTTTTCTCTAAAGTTTTTGTTGACCTGGGGAAGCCGCACAAAAGCTAGAAAGCCACTGCTATTTTCCCACTGACGTACAAATACCGTTCTGCTTTTATGCATGTTGTCATTTAGGAATATATTTTGTTTATTAATAAACAGCACACAGTGGTCCCGCTCATCCGTCACTGCTTCGCTTTTTCGCTGATTTTTTATTGCACAGTACAGCATTGCATTCTGCAGCCTGATTGACAAATCTGCTCCGTGTCGTGTCTCCTGCGCTTGCCAAATTTATCACCTTTGGTTTTGATAACCATTACGTCCAATAGAAAAAACAGCACAAAAACACCCATAACTATGACCCTCATTCGGAAATAGACACCTGCACCGCGAGGGGAAAAAGGCGCACGTGGCGGGCAGATGAAGACAAACCGCGGCATAATAATACTTTTACGTTTTGCAATCTACAAAGGTTTGCACTTTGAGAATCAATTGTGAGAACTGTGACCAATGTTCATGTGTGTGGGGAAAACGGTGTATAAAGTGCGTGGCCAGGGGCTAGTTATTCTGAGAACCCCTGCTGCAATAAATGAGGGACCACTGTCTACTCTATGATTATTATATTCAACCTGTTAACATTTAATACTGTATTGATAGAACTGATTCTGCAGCAGAGCATCCGCAGTTGCTTCTCCTGGCTCCCCAGTCCCTGAGCTCCTGCACCACAATTGTAGCATCAGATGTACAGCAAGCACTGATAGCTTTTTACTCGGTGGGATTGCCTTGTGATCACCTTTACTAAATGTCTACAACCAATCTGAATATATCCTGTTTGGTTTTTGAAATTAAAATCTAGTAGCAGTCTCCTCATTTCTTTGTTTTGTGCTGTTTTACAGGCCCACAGAGGAGGACAGCTCCAAGGCAGATGAGGGACGGGTCCCAGGACGGTCCATTGGCGGTGGAGCTGGCCATCCTGGAGTCTCTGAAGAGTCCACACCAGTCTCCAATGGAGCATTTCCTCCTCAGCCTTGTTCCTGCTCTGGAGAGCAGCTGGTCGTTTTTATTCCTGTCTCTCTGTAAATACTTACATTAAACATAAATATATAAAATATATTTCTGTGTGAGAATTTTAATATTATTTCAAATAAATGTTTATAATGACTAATGTCTCAGTTCTACTACACAGCAAACGTTGGCACACGACTTGACACATGTAGAATTTATTTCATATTATACTAATGACAAAATATACTGATACAGTGGGATGCAAAAGTTTGGGCAACATTGTTAATAGCCATCATTTT